AGCGGAGGTGAGCTACCTAGCACACTTCCGTAGATATTACTACACCTTTTTTTAGAGGAGCAAAGAAGATACCGGTACGACAAAGATGCAAGATAGAACACATATATACTCATCTCATCTCTGGTACATATATGTACATGATAGAGTACATGCCAACTTAATCATCTTTGGTGCGTGATAATCTCATCTCCGAAAAGCGACTTTGCCTCTAGCCAATTTGGATTTGTAAATTTCAAGCCTAATTGCACCGTTTTGACTTGATCCCTACTCATCTCGTCGCATTAATTGCAAGAAAGCATTGTTCTATCTTGCACACGCTTGATGGAGATATTAGGACACATAATAAGAATTTAATAGTTTCAGCTAGTAGCTTATGTTCTGAGACGATCGATGATCTCTAAAATATCTATCCAACTCATCATCTCCTTTCAGATGTTGTAGAAGAATAATATCACTAGTAGTAAAAGGCGACCTGTCACCTTCTCCGATCGGTTTTCATCGCCAATTTGCAAACGAGTGGCGATTTGAGGCACCACGCAACACAAATTGTTGCAAGTGGATAAAATTGATTGGAAGAGAGATTGAGCGAGAGAGAATTGTAGAGCGAATGAGCGAGTGAACCTTTATCGATAACAACTAGGAAGGTAGCCCGCGCATACGCGAGGGCAATTATTTAATGTTGGTTGAATTTTAATTACGAATGTTTACATGTAGATGATATTTTTAAAATAGATCTTCACTCTATTTTAACCATGTTTTCGTTAATATCTAATTTGGACATATTACTTGAAACCGTATAGACTTGAATTTATAAGAACAACATGTATCATGATAATAAAACAATAATGAAACAATGGAGTTGTTTCATATCTATTTGTACTCCATGTGATTTTTTAACCAGGATAATTTTTTTTCTAAGTACTACCACGATAATCTCCAAAGCACCATATTATTGGATATATTTGGATAAATATCTATGATTTTGCGTCTGGTGTTTTTCAACGCCCGTTGTTAATAATCACATAAGACACCTTTACTAATTAATTTGGAGAATGAATCTAATTTTCCCAAACTTGTTCACAATAACTAATTATTGAAGTATACTTTATAGTCACATCAATAGTGTGTATGACATACATTAATCAAATTATGCCTGATATATTGGAATTCCTCAACTATAAGAAAATATATCATGAGTAGCGTATTGCACATGTTACTTGGCAGTTCATTTGTCGTCAAAACTATTTGACAAAGAGAAAAACATACATTTATGATCATAAATCTCATGATGGACTAAGGGGTGTTGTATTATAGCAAGATCATTGGCTTGAAATATTTTTCATAATTTGTTTTACATCCATGTAACATTTATGTTGCCCACATATCATATACAAATGAAATAGTTCTAGAAATTAAAAAAATATTTGAGAATCTTAATCTCAAACAAATTAAAATTAAATTATATCTACTTAAAAACACAACTAAATTGTGTTGTTTTCATTTATTTTACATATGTAGATTTAAATTAACATTGTGTACTTCTGAAGTGATATTTGACACCTGAAATTAAATATGATGGAAAATTATTTAAAATAGAAAAAGTACGAATTACTCTAACTATTACAGTCGACCAAATTACCCCCTTAAACCCGAAAATCGGATATGTTTCACCCTCAACTATTAATACCGGACGAATTACCCCTCCCCCCCTCACTCAACACGAGTGGTTTTGGACCTACGTGGCAGTACAGTCACCGTCCCCAGCCACCTACAGAGCTCGAGCTCCTCCGCCCCGCCGTTGTCGTCCTCTTCACGTGCTAGTGGAGGCCGAGGAGAATCCACGTCGCCATCAAGGAGGTGCGCCCTGACAAAGGCTGAGGAGGAGCCGCCTCCACCACTCGCCACTCAAGCTCCTACGCTCCGTCATTTGCCGCCCCTAGCCTAGTCGATTAACAGACGTGGAGGGAGAAGAAAGAGAGAGATGGGGGAGGGTTGACGGAGAGATATGATATGTGGGTCCCACCAATTTTTTTAAGAAAATGCTGACTGGACTGAGGTAGAACCGAAACCACTTCGGGTTGAGTCAGGGGGTAATTCGTCCGGTATTAATAGTTGAGGGTGAAAGATGTCTGGTTTTTAGGTTTATGGAGGTGATTCGGTCTATCGTAATAGTTCAGGGGTAATTTATCATTTTTCCTTTAAAAAATTATCATAACATTATTTATTATATATCGTCCTCATGTGTTATGATGTATTTAGGAATATAGACATCAATAGTTTATTTAATTAGAGGAATCCGACTGGATCACAAATTAGATATATATTTTTAAAGCATTGATAGGATATTTTATTTTATATTGTGGATGATCTAGTTTAACTACGTATATTTTCGTAAGTTTATAGAGTAACATATTTTATTTTGAATTAGTAGAAAATCCTATTTCATGGAACATCGATTTTTTTAATATCATTATGTACCTGTTATGTATGTTGCTTTTATCGTAAGTCCCTACACAGGTTTTCGTTTTTTCTGGTGAACAGGAGGCATGCTGTTTCTTTTCCAGTCGTACGTAAGTACGTACACAGTACATTGAGCACTTATGTTGTGTTTCCTTTTTTCAGCCCACAGTATACATAAGGAAAGTATTATTTTTTTCAATAATATATATCTAATCTAATGGTCTAAAATATCGGAAATCCTAATCGGCGATCGATCGCCTGGGGACAGGGGTAGCGATCAATCCCCCTCCCCCTCTCTCCCTCCACCTGGTTTCCTTTTTTGCACCATATTACTTTCCTATTTTAGTAAATTTATGCACCTAAAGTTTATACACCTCAAGTTTACCCAAAGTTTACACATCTAAAGTTTAGAGACCAAAAGTTTATAAGTCAAAAGTTTACATACCTGATTCAAATTTGAATTTGAATTCAAATTATATATATATATATATATATATAGTATTTCTATACATAAATTTTTCTAACTTTTTATTTTTTAAAAAAAAATTGTGTGGTGTACTATAATAGGAAGAGAAGAAGGGGAGGAGGAAGGGGGGAGAGGAGGGAGGAGTGTATGGAGTATAGGGGAGGGGGGGCAGATCTGATCGCTTGGGCGATCGCCTGGCGATCGTTCGCCCATTAGGCCCCCTCTAAAATATCGGGTCCACCAATTTAAATGAAATTTGACGGTGAGATTAAATAGTGCCATGTGGCGGCCTAGGAGTATTTATAGGAAAGCCACATGGCAGCTTAAGAGCGTTTCTAGGGAGTTTAATGGACTTTTAGTATATAATAGAAGATAGATAGAAGATGGTTACAATATACAGGAGCAAGAGAGGCGACAATCGGAGACGCGATGGTTTGGAAAACATCACGCCCGTTGCTAGGTTTCTCACGAGAGTGAGAAGATGTGGGGCACGACGCAACCATCGTGTCCCTGAGTTGGTTGCCGATCTCTTTCCATATATATGGATGAGATCATATATCGTGTTTCACAACACAAACAAACACACACGACAGTACGATTTACACGGCTATGAATCAGACTATTAATTAATTAGTTCACCATTAAATTATGCAGATAAATCAGGAGATAAAAACCGATCTTCTGTAGGCTCATCTGAATTTCTCTGATCGAGAGAGATGGATATGACCATGACACATGCATGAACCTTTTTGCTAGTGATCGAGTTCGGTGTCGCTTTTCCGATCACAGAGGGGAAAACTCAACGCTCATATATATATATGTCTCTGCTGTTGATTGTTCCGCTCGTCTTGACGCTAGATTTAATTTGTAATAACAAGTGTTTTGTCAAACAGCTGCAACTAGCTAGCCTTGTTCTAGATTAATCATTTTGTAGGTCAATTTCCCCCCTAAATTCATCAAAATGAGTGTTTTATTTCTTCTTCAATCATTTTCTTTTGGAACAACCATTATTATATATATCATGAGTTTTTTCAATATGACGCTGTATATATACATATCGATCATCTGGATCTGGACATGTAATTTGATTCAGGATGAAGACAATAATGTTTAAAAGTTATGGTTTACACAATATCTCTATCCAAATTAATCTCCTTTTTCTTGTGATATTGACTTATGTTCAGTTTTGAGGTGAACCAAATTCCTAGCTTGCTTAGGAATATCATTTCTATGCACATCATAGACATTACTTAATGGGGAATTTTTCTTTTTGCTAGTAATAAATGTTCCACTTCTCGGTACACACTTATTTCTGCAAAAAAAAAAAATCCTAAACATGTTACTGCTCTTCTGGTGAACTTTTGAAAAATTTCCATTAATTCTCAACCGATTAATGTAGTTTGACTGGTGGCCGGAGTTAGAAAACGAAATAATATTAAATGGTTTATGTAATATTGAAAAGAAAATTGTAGGATCATATTTAAAAAAAGGACAATTAATTAGTTTTTCATGAAGATTTCCTTTCTCAGAAATTAATCTCATGAGTTCTTTCAATGACAATGTTGTATACATTTCGATCATCTGGACATGCTATTTGATCCAAGATAGATAACATTGTTGTAAGTTTTGGTTAACCAAAATTTCTATCCAACTTAACCATCTAAAAAAAGATCATATTAACTCCATTAAGTTTCCTTTTCTGTACTTGTGCTACATGCCTGCCTCATATCTTAAAACTGAGTTAGTAATGGTTAAAGTCATACTTTTTTTAGAACTTATCATATATAGCGACAAATAATTATGAAAGTACTTAATGGAGTATTTAACTGCGTTAATATGATGTCACAGATAACCATCATAATTAAGAAACAACCAAACTAAAGCAAATAAATTAACAAAAGAAGGAGCTGGCGCCCCCAACACAATTAACAATGTAAATCCTTGGTTTAGGGAGGGTGCCGAGTTGACAATGTCAACGGTCAACGAGTCTGACACGTCGTCCGGTGGAAAAGGTAGCTAGCTAGCTAACGCGCGCGTAATAACCCAACCCAAGCCGCTCTCTGCTCAACGCGGGCGAGAAGAGAGGAGACGTCACGGACGGAAGAGTCGAGTAGTAGTAGGAGGAGGAGGAAGAAGAAGAAGAAGAAGAAGATGTCCATGTCCTTACTATCGGTTGGTAGGTAAGCCGAGGCACACGCGGTCATCTCTCCACACACGCGCCCCCTCGCTTCCCCCACATGTATATATACCCCTCTCTCTCTCCCAACACTGACTCCACCTCACCACTCGATCGATCGCAAGAACACGATAAGGATTCAGGGATCGATCGATTCATCTCTCCTCGTCGTTGGTCACAGGACGGAGAGAGATCACCATCAGCAGCTAGCAGCAGGATGACGAGGAAGAAGGAGAGGTCAGGGTGGGGGAGCCTGTTCAGGGGATGCCTGAGCGGAGGAGGCGCGGCGGGGAGCCGGAAGGTGCGACCGGGGCCGAGGACGGCGGCGGCGGCGGCGGCGAAGCACGGCGGAGGAGCATCATCGGCGGCGGCGCAGCGGCTGTCGTTCACGGACGTGATGAGCACGGCGTCGGAGCAGGAGCTGTCGGTGTCGCTGGTGGGGTCGAACCTGCACGTGTTCACGGTGGGGGAGCTGAAGGCGGCGACGCAGGGGTTCCTCGACGGCAACTTCCTCGGCGAGGGCGGCTTCGGCCCCGTCTACAAGGGCAACGTCGCCGACAAGGCCAAGCCGGGCCTCAAGGCCCAGCCCATCGCCGTCAAGCTCTGGGACCCCGAGGGCGCCCAGGGTCACAAAGAATGGCTGGTAATTTAATTTACTTACTATACTTAATTGCTTCTAATTAATCAATCAATTAGGAGTAACAACTTTATTAGCCATGCAAATAATTAGTAATATTTTTGTGATGCATGCAGTCGGAGGTGATCTTCCTTGGGCAGCTCAGGCACCCCAACCTGGTGAAGCTCATCGGCTACTGCTGCGAGGACGAGCACCGCCTGCTCGTCTACGAGTACATGGCCAAGGGCAGCCTCGAGAACCACCTCTTCAAGAGTATGTACAATTATTCACCCTCCATTTCTTAATTAATTATATAACTTCTGCTAATTAGTTATGGTACACTGGTGGAGAAAGGGGCTTTACTCCCTGTTCATAACCCCTTGTAGTCTCCGTTTTCCAACCGGGACTATGAATCCGGGACTAAAGATCGCTATCTTTAGTCCCGGGTGAAAAAATAAAAAGTAAAAATCCATTTTTAGTCCCGGTTGGTGTTACCAATCGGGACTAAAGATAGAGTATCTTTAGTCCCGGTTGGTAACACCAACCGGTACTAAAGAGGCTAGCTCAGGTTGCTACTTTATTCTATTCTTTTTTTCATTATTTTTAATATATTGATTCACTCTATCCCATCCCAAAATCCCAAATCAATCATCCCCGAATAGTCTCCAAATTCTCAAATCAATCTCTAAATACATAACAAAATCTTAAAAAAAATTACATCACAAATACATTACATATTCACATCACACACAAATCGTCTTAGATCCGAATCACAGATTTTAAAAAAAAAAGAAAGAAAAAAAGGAAGAAGATGAACGGCCCGCTGCCGCGGCGGCGCGCCTCCTCGCCGGCCACCGCTGCGCCGCCCGCCGCGTCCCCAGCTCCGGCGCCGGCCGCCGGCCACCGCCACGAGGCCGCCAGCCGCTAGCGCGCCGCCTCACCCGACCCTCCGCGCGCCGCGCTGCCGCGCGGGCCGGCCGGGCCTCTGCGCCCTACCGTTGCAGAGGGAGGTGGGGAGGAGGGAGAGGAGGAGAGGAAGGGAGGAGGGAGAGAAAAAGATAAGGGTGACTCTGTGAGGAGATGAGTTAAAAAAGGAGATGAGGAGAATGTATTGATCCGATCCGCGTGCAACCACCCCGCTTATGTCGACTTTTTTCCTAGTTGGTGTTACCAACCGGGACTAAAGATAATCAACCGGGAGTAAAGTTTATATTGATCTTTTTCCCCGGTTGGTAACACCAACCGGGACTATAAATAGATCGTTAGTCCCGGTTGGTGACTAAAGATCAAAAAATTCCTTAGAGCTTTCAAACCGGGACTAAAGATGTTTTCAGTCCCGGTTTTTAATACAACCGGGACTATTGTGAAATCTGGTGGACCGACCAAAGATGGTTTCTCCACCAGTGGTACAAGTAGATTAGAGGGAGCACTACTCAATAATTAGGTTAATGTATATATTATTCTTTGTCGCTTACACATCTTATTAAGCTCCAAAGTTTCACACACACGCCGCAATTTATGTATAGTACTGTGTAAATCCTGTTTATATGGAGAAATTAGGTCCCTAATGACCGCACTAGTGGAGCAGATAATTAGCTATATATGCCATACGTACATGCCACTCCAGCATGGAGCACGCGCAATATATCATCTTCACTGACAGCTAGTAAGCTGGATAGATGGTATACATACTGGCCAGTGGTCAGCAGCTGTAGCTAGTTGATAATTGATTAGTCGACTACGTTTGATTTGATCGATTATGCTATACACATTGCGGCCGCATCAATCGCTGCTTGTTTTTGACATTGCTGACCCTCTCCTCCTTCCTGATCTGATCTTAATCTGACTAGATATATGCCGTTATATCTCCCTCCAAGAAAGTAATTTTCTACTCTGACTGATTAAGCATTTAGTTGGAATAAAATTCAAAACGAAAAGTCTAGCTAGATGTGGAAGAAGAATTAAAGGAAACTAGCTAGATGAGGTGGTTGTGGACAGTCTCATCTTAGATGAGCATATTGACTCCATTGGCTCCGTTTCACATTGATCATGCCATATATTCTCAGGTTAATTCGTTCGTTAGCTACTCAATTCCAGAAAGGGAATATATGTATTTATATGCACGAAGTACATGTTTTTAGGTCTAATTCCTGTGGACGCTGGGCGGATTTGATGACGATCGATCAAGAGAAAGCTAATTAAGTGCAAAGCAGCTAATTAAGCTAGTTGGAATAAGACCTAATAATTGGTAGTAGTTGTTGATAAAGTAGGCTTTTACATTCGCAGTGCCTGATGAATTTTCCATCCAAACTCGATCTACTGATTTAGTATGAATCATCCAGAAAAACCATTAATTAAGAAAAGGTTTGTTTGGCCGGACCAAATTAACAAATCAAAGCATGCAACTTGTGCACAAAACCTTGACTGGTCCACCACCTAACTGGTATACGATTCAGCAGCTGCTATTTTCTCTCTTTTTTTTTTGGGTTTGGTCATATGCAACTAGCCATGCATTTAGCTGTGCCTCACACACGCAAAGTAATGTAAAGTGAAGTAAGCAAATACTTCTAGTGATGCTTATATTTAACGAATTAATTAATCTTGACCATGGATTATTATTGAATTATGTAATAATTATATTTACTTTTCTTTTTCTTTTTATTTTCAGAGTTTCCTTCGATGCTGTCGTGGTCAACCCGGTTGAACATCGCGGTTGGCGCCGCCAAGGGCCTCGTCTTCCTTCACGACGCCGAGAAGCCCGTCATCTACCGCGACTTCAAGACCTCCAACATCCTACTCGACCCGGTAATTACACTTGTTATTAATTATTATTATTATTTCATTACACTTAAATTCTTCTAGAGATATTGATCAACCTAATTACTTTTCGTAGCATAACGTGATTTATTTATGGAGTTGACCTGATGCTTTACTCGTTCACACGAATCGAATTTATGGTGCATTAGTCAGAGGTTGGAAATTAAGTGCTCAGGTTACTAGTAAGTACAGTACAAAGTAGGTGATGCAGCGACTGATTGTCCTCGCGAGTCTGAACGCGCGAATGCACGCAGTAGTTCATGACTGGGCTAAAGCCCAACTGATATTTGGAGATCGTCTAACGTGGGCCGAGTAGAAGGCCCAGTAGTGATTAACTCGGCCTAGTAGATCGAAAAAGGCTAATTGAAGTGGCGTCGTGCAGGAGTACAAGGCGAAGCTGTCGGACTTTGGGCTGGCCAAAGATGGGCCGGAGGGCGACGACACCCACGTCTCCACACGCGTCATGGGCACCCACGGCTACGCCGCACCGGAGTACATCCTCACCGGTACGTATATGCACTATACACACACCTATACTATGTATACATATCTTTTCAACACCATCGATTCTTTTTCTCCTCTTGCAAACCTATAATGTACTAGTATCCTTTTTACAAATATTCTAACCAAATGCATCGTGTTATCATTTGTCAGGTCACCTTACAGCAAAGAGCGACGTATACAGCTTTGGTGTCGTTCTGCTAGAGATCCTATCCGGGCGACGGGCTGTGGACAAGACACGACCTAGCAGGGAGCAGCATCTAGTCGAACACATGCGCTCCTGGCTCAAGGATCCACAGAAGTTAAGCCGAGTCATGGACCCGGCCCTGGAGGGCCAGTACTTCGCTACCGCGGCTCATAAGGCGGCCCTGGTGGCGTATAAGTGCCTGAGCGGTAACCCCAAAAATAGACCGGACATGTGTCAAGTCGTGAAAGACCTAGAGCCCCTCCTCAATGTCACCGATGATGTCTCTGATGAGTCGGTGGCACCCATAGCCCCGGTAAGGGAGGATAATGCTGTGAGAAAGGAAAGAACAGCAAGGAGAAGGCCCGGTGAGAGGGATGGTGGAAAACTTAGGCAAAGTAAAATGCGTTCACCCCAGAAGGTCGTTAGGAGACGTCCAGGCCAAAGCGAGGAGTTTTGGGTGTGGCATATGCCTGGAGAAGTAAAATGCTAAATATCAAGTGTAATATATATATATCCGTAACCCGCAATGTAATGTTTTTGTGTAGTGACTGATGATGAGGATGTAAAATGTAGATGGTGGTGCAGCCGGTGGTCACTGGCCAGGAAGGATTGCACCCCCTGTAATTCCTTGTTTCTTTTCTCTTGGTTTGAAATTTATTGGTCTTGGCCTCTTTGTACTCAGTTTTTACTGCTCCGAATCTCTCTCCCTCTCTGTGTTTTTTGTTGTTGTTTTCTTATAGTGATGAATTCCAAAGGATGGATGGATGGAATCATGGAAAGGAAAGGCAAGTACAGTCCTCGATGTGATTGCACAGTTGCACTTGTCTTTTTTTCCGTTACTGCAGTGAATCAGTGGACGGTACTGATAGTAGCCAGGGATCATGAGTGTGGGGGTAGCAGCAGCAGCAGGCTAGACCCGGCCGCAGGAGAGCCTTTTGGACAGCAGGTGTCAGCGTGTGGGAACACCAGTATACTGCAGACCTGCGGCCTGCAGGTGGCCACTTGACATTTGGCATTCAGCTTGAATTACCTCGTGATATACAGCAGTACGGACCATATCTCTAACCACAAAATTGGATATTTTAAATCTCAAACTATTAACACGGAACGAATTACACCCAAACTCAATCCGAAACCATTTTAATCGTACGTGACATACATGTGGAGCCAACGAGACAATGCAATCAGAAAAAAGAATAAAAAAACCATGAGCCTCACTTCTCATATACCTCACCTCTATCTCTTCTCTCTGTTGATTGTCGCCCTGGGGGGCGAGGCAGACATGGCAGGCGACGATGATTCGGCGTTGAGGGGCATCGAGCGGGCCGGTGACAGGGAGGGCGCTGCGGCTGTGGGAAGGGAGGACGCCTCCGATTTCCATTCTCTCCAAGTCGGCAGGCGGCAAGGAGAAGGGTGGCGGGCAACATGGGGATGGACGGCGGCTTTGTCGACGCCGGGCAACACGCCCCTCTTCCACACCTCCTCCCCCACCACGACACACCCTTGCTTGTCGCAGCCATGACGGTCTCCATGGGGGAGGAGGAAAGATAAGGGAGGAAGAAGAGAAAGAGAATATGGCAGCAACAGAGGGTGAGGGTGGGGGTGGGTCAGGGAGAGGAGACGGTGCCACTAGGCCTCCATGATGGACCTCAACGGCCGCATCATCTCCACCACCATGTCCACCGACGTCGTCGCGCTCCTTACCAAGCTCCGCGACCAGATCCACTTCGGCTGCACGTTCACCATCACCTACGCTCTTTGACCTGGTTGCACTCTCAACCGTCCTTCCCATGAAGAGCTTGAATCCGCTGCCCCACCCTCCCAAAGCAAGTTTTCGAGCTTCGCTGCCGACTCTCCTCTAACCTCGCTGTCAAGCTGGAGCTGTGGACTACTGGACTACGCGGCCTTCAGCTTGGCGTCAATCTGTTGCCTCAGCCCGCCTTGTCGAGCGAGCTCGGCCTCCGTCCACCTTTTTGCAGCCATAGGTGCGCAGAGAGAGAGAGAGAGAGAGAGAGAGAGAGAGCATAAAGGGGGTTAACGGCAAGATGGATTGACGGAATGACAGGTAGGCTCAGGGATAATTTTTTATTATCCTTGTTGACTGATTTCCACGTCGGTAACAAGTGTGCAAGTTCAAGTCAAAACCGCCCAAAACAGTACTTAGAGGGTAATTAGTCTGATATCAATAGTTCGAGGTTTAAAATGTCCGATTTTATGGTTCAAGGGGTAATTCATATTGTCACGATAGTTTAAGGGGTTAATTCAGACCTTGATTAAAACAGTGGCCATCTAGAATTTGACATACTCCTAGTATGTTTGCAAGCTAGATATTTTAAGAAGGAAAAAGTCCAAATTACCCTCTTACTATCATGGTCGACCGAATTACCCCACTAAATTCGAATATCAGATATTTTATACCCTCAATTATTCATATTGTATGTGTAAGATATACGATATTTGAGTTCAGGGGGTCAATTCGGTCGACCGTAATAGTTCGGGAGGGGATAATTCAAACTTTTTCCTTTTAAGAGGCAGTTTTGATGAGTAACCCATCACTGATAAGGATCTAAAGAATATGGAAAACTCCTGTTTCGCATTACAGGTTCATTTACATGTTCATTTGTATATATTATAGACTGAGTTTTGAAATCTGAAGTGAAAAATATAGAGTGTTTGAGGGAGATAAAAGATTTATAGATTTATCTCCAGCTGCTAAAAACTCCCTTGGCTATGGTATAATCTTCATTTAGGCCCAATTTAATATAACAAAAGATACTAGTAACTGTTATAAGTTAGTTAATACGGTAAAATGATGATTAACCTTCCCAGTCGTTGTAGCCATTGATCAACTTAGACGTGTCAGATGATGACACAGGATTACAGTAACACATAGTATTTATCAACGAGATCTAACTGAAGCCTATATCTCCAGAGCTCTATTTGGGGCTCTGATTATGAGCACTCTTCTCAACAATCAACATAGCAGCTAGCCGCTACAAATCAATAGCCTCTCCGTGATCCTCTCCCTACGTGTATATGTTACATTATTTGTAATCGCCACCAGCTATATTGTGGCGCCCCTATCTTTATTTAAAGGATTATCAGGTTATAGGGTTTGACTTTAATTTACTTCACCCCTACCACTTATTATAACTCCATGTTCAACTATAATAATAAAACTGGCATATTCGACACCTATTCTAATGGTAACATCACGCACCAGAGAAGCAACTGAATTATTCAAAAATCACAGTTGATTTATCTCACCGTTGGATTAAGATCCAATGGCTATTCGGTTGTCTTCAACCTTTTATTGCTTCAACCTTAAACGGTCAACTCCAGACCTTAAACGGTTGCACTCAGCGAGACTACCCTCTTCTTCATCACCCACTACAATGACCACGGTGTTACTCTAAACCCGCCGAATTAGGAATCGCAATTAGGATCAACGGTGGGGGTAAAGAAAACAAGTGGTCAGAACTCAGAAGGAGGCAAAGGGCTTTAGCCTTTAGGAGAGGAAAGGAGTATCGGAGATGAAGGAATTAATGGCAACATGGGGAAAATATTATCGACGAGTTTATCATTGAGGACAAAAGAAAAAAAAATAAAGAAACATCGGGCTGGGAGGTAAAAGAAATGTCGCATCAGATGGGCGTCTAGTGACGGCGATTATATTATAGTGATCGATCGGTATTTTCTGGATTCTTAGTAAACTGACCATTTAGATGGGAATGTGCAGTCTCAACCATACTTACCATACACATAACTAATGCTCTGTTTAGTTACTCCAAAATAACAAAAGTTTGAAAAAATTTTCTATGCACCTCTGAAAGTTCGTCTAATCCCTTCTATATCTCTGAGATTTGCTCATTTCTTTTCATACGTCTAAATTTTAATTTGGATCCCTTCTATAGTCCTTTTGTTAGTTGACCGTTAAATTCCTATCATAAAATCCATTTTGCCATTTTGCTATCAAGAAAATATAAATTTATATTGATGGAGTGTATAAATTTATTGTATGGGACTAATATATTTATGAGATATTATTTAACAAAAATAATTTTTATCTCACATAACAAAAATAAATTATTATAAATAATATCTTGCATAACAAAGTCATAAATAATATTTATGATAATTTATTTTTAGATATTACATAAAAAATAAAATTTATTTATTAGTTATTAAAAATTATTTATTTAGCACATAAATAGATTTATCTTATACAAATGTCGTACTACTGTAACAAAATATGCTATATATACAACTTTTAGTGGTAAAAATATTAATATTTTGTTATATCTAAGAATAAATTTTGTTATAGATAATTTTTTTTGTTTTGCGTTCGTGGAGGGGAAATTAAAATATTATTTTTGTTAAATAATATTTCACAAAATAAACTCATAAATATAATAGTTGCATACAATAAATTTATACAATATACTTTATAAATTTATATTTTCTTGATACCAAAGGACAAAATAGACTTTATGATAGAAATTTAAAGGTGCACTAACGGTCAATTAATGGAAGGGATATAGAAGGGATCTAAACTGAAATTTAGGGGTGTGTAAAAGAATGGGCAAATTTCAGGGGCATAGAAGGGAGCCAAACTGAAATTTAGGGTATGTAAGAGAATGGGCAAATTTTAGGGGCATAGAAGGGATTTGGTGAACTTTCAGGGATACTCAAGAAATTTTACCATGCATCTAAACACCAACTAGCAAAACTTTAATACCAAATCTTTTGCCACCAAAACTTTTGGTAAAAAAAAATTGCCACAACAAATTAGTCTAAACGGGCCCTAGCAAATATTATCAAAGATTTAGAAAAAAAAGTAACTTATCAGCGCGTACAAATTTTTTTATAATTTCCAATGACTAACATTTGTTAGTGTGCACGAAATTTATGTACACAGCATATGTTTCCATTAGGTAAATTTGGGTCTGTTCACTTTAATGCCATTTTCAACCTTACCAAATTTTGGTAAAGTTGTAAAAAAATAGCTACATTTAGTTTGCTGTCAAATTTTGGTAACTATATAAGAAATCCTGTCAAAATTTTGACAAGTTACCAAAAATTTTGGCAATGCTAAAATTTGATAAGTTTTTTTTTCATCAAAATAAACAGGCCTTTGTTACCCCCAAATACAAATTAAAGCAAACACAAAATTGTCCCTATTTTGGTAGCTAATGTTCTGTGACAATTAATGATATGATACTGTATACATGCATGCACTGTACCTTTTTCTCACATGGCGCATGCAACAAATAGTTTTTTATCGATCGTTTAGTTTGTGGCTTGTCGGGTACTAGGAGAAGCTGTGAGGTCCGGAGGGGTTCCACGTTGCTACGTGCCAGAGCTATGATCGAGAGACCATATGGCAATGGCATGCATGCATGCTCGAATAAAGTCGATGCATGGCGACAATTAAAGGACGCATGCCGCTAGCTGCTGCGACCCCCGCCCCTATACTGTGTACTTCTGTATCCTACTATACAGTAGAGTCGTTCTCAACTGACACCAAGCTAGTATACTCGATCCATAGTCCCATTCCCATACTCATGCTATACAGAGAAGTTTCTTGATATATAACATCATTAAAATATATTTGACGACTACTTATTTAATTATTTGTTTTTTATGGTTTGATTTATTAGTAAATATTGTTTAAACACAACTTATGTTTTTTTTCATGATTGTAATTTCTTT